CGGAGCGGTCTGGCCCCAGGGAGCGCCGGGCTTTGGGGCGCGCAGGCGAGCCCTCGTGGAAGCTGGACCGACCCCTTCCCTCCACACGCCCGTCCCCGCAGAGATGGCCCCCCACCCCGTGTCGTCCCAGCCCCGTCTGCCCCCTCCCAGCTCATGTCCCTGCCAGGCTGCCTCCTTGGAGCCCCCAGAACCCCACAATTTGCAAGCTCGGCCTAGTCATGCAGGGCCTCAGCACACCCTGCCGTGAAAAGCGTCCTGCGCGGGGCACAGAGGCGGGAGAGTCAGGTGGGGACCCCAGGGCGTGAGCTCGTGGAGGCTGCTCAGGGGCTTAAGTAGGGGGGGCCTGAGCCGGTCGAATTTGGAGGGAACCATGGGTGGCAGTGGAGGCGGGGCAGTGTCAGGGCAGGGGGAGACGCAGGAGACTTGGGTGCTGGCATGTGGGAAGGGGCGGGGGCTGCTGCTGAGATAAGGTGCTATGAGAGGCCCCTTCCCTCCTCCCTCAGTTGCTTCCTGGGGTGGGGGTAGGACTATGGTCATCTGCAGAGGTTGGCAGTCAGCCTACCTCCTGGGACACCAAGCCAATGGAGACCCTGAAGTGAGACTCTGTCCCCCACCCCCACAAGAGGAGCCCTCCACCCATTCCGGAAAACCACAGCCCCGCTCCCTCTGGCGTGGAGTTCAGCCTTAGATAAGGCCCGGGAGGCCATCCTGTGTTCTCAGAAGTGCTGCCCACAGCAGCTCCCCACCCAGCCCACAGCCTTACCTGCTGGGAAAGGCCCCTGCCCTTGCCTTTACTGAGGTCTAGACTCAGCCAGGGGGGACCCTCCACTGGACTGAGACCCCACCCCCCAGCCCTAGTCCTGGGGTGCTGCAGGGGGCTGCCAGGTGTGCCCCTTGATCGGATGGGCCCATGGTGCCAGGCTTGGTACCGCCCACTCAGGGGCCCTGATGAGGACCTGGGGCCGTCACTCCTGTCCCCCCTCACCTCCCGTAGGGTGTCCAGAGCCTTCAGCAGTGCGTTCCCTCATCCCCAAGCTGGGCTGCGCTGTGAGGTCGGAAAAGGCCCCCGTGGTGGTGTTCAGACCCCCTGCAGAAGTGGCTGTGCCTGGGGCCTGGTGGAGAGGCAGTATCCCTCCCACATCTCCTCTCTCCCGGAAGCTTCTGGAACTGAGGTTCTTTCCAGAGACTGTGATTCAGGCCGGGGCTGCTCCAGACCTCAGAGTCACATTCCAGGTGACAGGGGCTGGGGGTGTCCTCTGAGGGCTCAGAGCACCATGGCTTTGCCTGGATGACACTGCCCCATGGCTGTGGGAAGGTGCTTGGCAGACCCTGGGCCCAGGCTGCCGGGGGCTGTGGTGGCCCTGTGGGTGCCAGGGTGATGGGCCTGCGCTGTGCAGCTCTCGAGGTGGGAGGCCCCAGGTGGTGCTCAGCTTGAGCCAAGGGCAGCCTGACGCTCCCAAACCTCTGTAGGTGGAACCTGGGGCCATCTGCTTGAGTTCCCCACCCACCAGCAGGACCCCCAGAGGAAAGAGGGGAGAGGGAGGGGAGACAGACATCTTGGAATATGTGCTCCGGCCACAGAGCTGGGCAGCTCTGTGCTAGGTGTTAGGGCCACTCCTCCCCTGGGCAGGGGTCCCGGCAGGCTCTCCTGTGCCCGCCCTGACCACATCACATGGATATTGGGGATGCCCAGGTGCCCCATGGCCCATGGCACCCCAGGCCCCATCTCCCGCCCTCCTCTCCTGGGTCCTTAAGGTCCGGAGCCTGAATGTGGGCTGGGCAGTGCTGGTTAGGGCCGGGGTGGGGGCAGGGGTGCAGTCATCACCTCTGGTGGTGAACAAACCTCACATATTGACATTTGGGCCTGCAGGGTCACCAGGGACCCAAGAGTAGCAGTTAGTCCAGGCCTCCGGGGGTGTCCTGGGATGGCACTTGGTCAGAATAGGGCAGGCAACTCTGCCAAGGAGCATTTCTTGTCACATCAGGGGTCCCTGTGGGTCACTGCACCCACTCAGGGTCCAGGGATGACAGGCAGCAAGGGACACTATCTCCCCGAGGACTCAGGCCATCTCTGTGATCCCCACGTTCACCAGCTGGCTCGTCCTGGTGGAGCCGGAGTGTTCTGGGACAGCACTGATGCCACCGTGGGCCGCGTGGCGAGCCGCGAGCCAGTGCACGGCCAGAGGACCGAAGACGCGCTCGTGGCGTGGGCGGGACGTGAGGGACAGGGCGGGAGAGGCCTGCGAGCTGACACTCGGGGTGCGGAGGCCGAGGGCCTACCAGAAGTGTGCCTATGGAGTGGCCTGGAGGCCAGCCGAGGACGTGGCCCTGATCCCGCAGGCCCAAGGTGGCTCTGGGGACCCAGGTGCACTCAGCCCACCCAAGAGGCCCGCTCTCCCTTTGGGGCCTGGCCTTCACGGCCCTGCTGCCCGCCCCAGCCTCAGGGATGCAGAGCTGGCTGGCTGGGCAGCAAAGCGGGCAGCAGCCGAGCTCGGCCCCGCATGCAGAGACCACCAGACATGCTGATGTGCTGGGTGGGGGGGCTCAGGGCTCCTGCACCTCGGCCACACAGTGACAAGGGCACCCCACTCTCTAGGCCACAGCAGTGGGAGGATTGGGGGAGGTGTGCTGTGAGTGACCGGACAGGTCAGACCCTGGCTCCTGGCTCAGGTTCTTGGCTCCTCACTGGCTTTGGGACCCTGGGGACTCGCTGTATATCTCTGAGCCCCAGTTCCCTTCTCCAGCCCTGCCCCCCGCCCCCGCTCCCTCGCTGCACCCCTCCAGAGGGCAGGTGGGGACGCTGCAGTGCATGGCACCCTCTGGCAGTGCTGCGGCCCGTGTGTCTGGGGAAAGGGGCTGCCTTCCAGCTGCACACAGAAGGGGGCGCGCCCAGAAGCCCCTCCCACCTGTGGCGGAGCCCGCTGCCGGCAGGGCTGATTGGGGTCAGGGGTGGCTGTGACTGGTGGTGACCATGTGGAGGGGTGAGGCAGAGCACGTGGAAGGGTGTGCAGGAGGAGCGCACACGCTGGGCGGGCTAGGGACGGGGCTCGGACTGGCATTTGGACTGGGGTGGGTGCGGGTGGCTGCGGGGGCGAGGGTGGAGAGCAGATTATGGCTGGCCCTGGGGGCTCGGGTATGTCACAGGCCCCGAATCACCCCAAAACCTTGGGATTGCACCCATGGGGAACGGAACGTCGCAGTCACACACAGAACAGCCAGGGTGGGGCCCGTGCTGGCTCTGCACGTCCTTCGGGGCACTGTCATACCTTGACCACGTGGCCCTCACTCACCGCCTAGGTCCTCCAGGCTCCTGCAGCACCCTGCCTGCTGGAAGACGGGCGGCGGGGCACTGGGAGCCGGTGCCTGGTCCCCAGACGGCCCACACAGGAGCCACGCCTGGGGTAGAGGCAGGGGAGGCCTGGGGGGTCTGAGGAACCACCTCGGGTTGAGGGAGCCCTTCTTGGGGACCTCGGGAGACACCGGACACCTTTCCTGGGGATGGCAGAGCCATGGCGTGGGGGTCACGCGGGTGGTGGGCTGCAGGAGGGCCCACGTCCAGGAGGGACACGGGGTTGAGTGGGAGCCCGAGGGAGGGTGGCCCCCCACGATGGAGGCAGCCCCCAGGCCGGGCAAGGTTGTGGCTGCTGGGGCTCATCGCCCCTTCTTGCAGGACAGAACCCCCCATCTCCCAACCCCTTATTCCCCCAAGGACAGGTCCCAGCGGTGGAGTAGGGCTGGTGGGGACGAGGGGAGGGTGTCCGGCACGGCGGGCTGCCTGACGGCTGCGGAGGCCGTGTTTGTAACAAAGTAGCCTTTATAGGTCCCCGCCAGGGCGCCTCTAGGAGCCGCGGTGGCCCGCGCTCTTGCGCTGCTCCTCGCCGTCCTCGCGGTCCTCGTCG